GCCTCCCCCCCCAAAAAAAAAAAAAATACACTCTCATGTCTGTCCAACAGACAATGCTGCAGGAGGGAACGGACAATCAACATGTGTCTGCAGCACGACGGGCTTGTTTCTGAGTGTCCAGGGTCAGCCTCCCAAGGGACAACTCCAAAGGACTGCAGTGACCTGCCAACACTTCTCCCCTGACATGCTGCAGCGAGAGGTCAAAGACAATATCTGAGGTGGCGGCGGATCAATGTTTAACCTTCCCACATATGATCGGGATTAGGGCAATTGGCCTATTCATATTTTGTCTAATGTTCTGATGACATTTTATTTTTCAAGGAAATGCGTTGCGTTACTTTGAAGAAACCAGAACTATTTAAGTTATATTAATGAAGCAGTTTGTTTCTTGTGAGTCAAGACCAAAGATATGAACAGAGGAAAGCAGATATTCTAAATTTGTTCCCTTACCAACACCAACAAGGTAAAATCTTGCATATAAACATACACTGATATATGAATCACTGATATATGATACACTGATATATGAATCTAAATAAAAATAGAGAGAAAAATAAATCAGTCGGTGGACAACTAAATTTAGCTGGCCTATAGAACTAGTTCTGTATATTTTCTATTTCATAATTTCCAGACACCTAACTATGTGCATAAATCAGAAACATCAGCTGACTTTAAAAGCTATGTGAACCAGAGGTTTAACTACTATATGAATGCAAGCTGCATTATTTTCCTAATAAAATATGACGGTGAAAATTAGCTCCACCAAGCTTGAAGGAGAGAAACGGGGAAAAAAAGCAATTGCCAGTTCTACATTTTTCTTAAAGTGTGTGTGTAGAACAATATGATTTTTAAAAATATTTATTATTGATATTGTATTGACATTGGAGATACCTAAAAGGGAATACCCCCCAAAAGGCGACACTATGTGCACACTGCACCACCTTTGTTCTAGTTCAAGTCCCGCATTCACTAAAGTGCGAAAAATCCTCCTAATGAACGGTCATCCAGAGTGCTGCATAAACGACAACATCACACGGCGCTTCATATCAAAGATCCCATCTACTCTCATCCTTCCACTGGCTCAATCCGAGGCCTGTTCTCTGGACACATTATTACTGTCATCATTTTAACATGAAAGGGAGGAAACAAGTGCTGCACCACTACCAAGGAGACACCTTGATCCCAGAGCATTTGCATTCGCCACCTTGTTCCGCCTGATGTGTGAACGAGTTAGCGCTGGGCTCTGTGATTGGCCGGCGCTGAAAAGCAGAAGCAGACACTCTGCTAATGCTGCATATGTTGTTTCCCCTTCCCCCCTTTCTTCCACACTGTGTCACACTCAGGCGGTGGCACTAGAGGGCAGTCCACCCTGTTGCTTTTTGTTGTGGAGAAGGCAGACAGTGTTGGACTCACACTGAGTGAATGATCTTTTAAAAATATTTTGTAGGTTTTTTTTTTTGTCAATTCCATGAAAAACTAGTCAGGAATTTTTGGAAATCAGTGGTTTGACATTTACTTCTGGACTGGACAGTTTATCCTCAGTTGAGCACTGAAAAGGAAAACTCATCAATTGGTTTACGTCAATTGGAAAACTCTGTTTATACAACCTATATTCACGTTGCATAAACTAAGAGAGGTGGGCAACAAGGATGCTTTCCAAAAGCGTCCAAAGAAAGCCTTTTATTTTAAAGAGATAGGATAATGCTCTCTCTCACATACACACAGCTGGACTGTTGCTTTCTGTCTGTGGTGCAGTCATTCAGGAGGCTGCTGCTAATTAAAGACACACAACAATGAAGCGTGGAAACCCCAAAGCAACAGTGTTAATCAAAGAAAAAAAAAATAATGTAAGAGGAGTAGTGATCACAGAGAGGGCAGCCGGCCATTTCACCAAATCAAAGTGGCGATTTTAATCTAGTTTATAAGGACTTATTGTGCACTTCTGTCCCCGTCTGGCAGAAGTTAGTTCAGTCTGAGACAAATCCAGAAAGCTTTTATACTGGATGAGTGTAAATAGGTCCTGACATTAGTTGGGAAAGAAGTGTTTGCTTCAACATATTTGTTTATATTAAATTACCATCAAACACTCTATTGTTTCAGGTCATGTAAAAATATTCCTCTGTTGACTTTGCGTCATAACTTTTGTTGCTCCCAACCATTCAAACGCAAAACAAATACAATTTAATTACTGTTTTATATACAACATTGAAATGTTTTTTTTTAAAAAAACAAAACAGTCATGACATTTATTTTCAAGTTTTAATATAAAGCTCCTGTCATTTTATGTCAACACTCTCCAATACTTTCTGCCTGTTGCCAACAGCTGGCATTACTACTTTTCACTAATATCTCCTTTACTTGTTTAAAAATACTTCAGCTTCTATTAAAATGTTTAAATACATTCATCAGTTGACTATAATTATTTTTGATTTCTTTTAGCAACCTTTTCTGCCGTATTTCTCTGCATGTTTTTTTACAGAAATGTGTGAATGTGACAAATAAAAAACCTTGAACCTTCTATATTTTACCATTAAATGAAATGTCCACTGTGGATTTTTCACTTGTGTTTGTCATTCATCATTTAACATGAATCTGTTCCAAGTGTGGTTTCTTTGTTACTCAGAGAACGTGTGAATAATCTGAAAATGGTTTGACCTTTTTATCAAAACTTTGTCATGATCAATATTTTTCTATGCACATTTAAAAAGGTGGAGTTGTGGAATTTTGATGCGACTTACAATTTACATTTGTTCTAAACAGCACACTTAATTTGAAATTTGCTGTGATGTTTAGAAAAGAATAATTGATGATGATTGCTATGATCTTCTGTAATTGGCGTGCTATTATGAAAAAAAAAAAAAGCTTTTTCTAAAAAATCTTTTCACTTGCTTTTAATTGAAGGTATCAATGAAGAGGAAAAAAACACCTAAAACTAGGTCACAGGAGGTCAAGCAATGTAAAGTGCTCTCTTTTCGGCCATTCACGGGAGAAGGTCAGGTCAATCATGTAAGTATGGCAGCAGATTCTCACAATCAACATCGGGATGGGTTAGCCCTTCTGTGCTAGACAGAAAGCCCGCTTTTGTAGCGTCGACCCCTTCAGAAGCTTCTCGGTTCTTCGGCTGTGTTGTGGCAACGGATGGGTGGGGGTCTCTGGTCTACGAAGAGGGGCCCTCTGTGAAAAGGCCCCACTCAAGAGGAATAAAGGAGCCTCTCCAGTGGTTTGTTTTGGAGGCTGTCTTATTGATCTGTCTACCTATGAATGAATGCATTGGCCCAGTTTTCCCGCTCACAGCTACAATGGCACTCGGCCTGTATTAACTGCCCCGACGTTATTCCCAGAGAATGGCGCACATTGAGAGGAGTTTTGGGAACGTTTGTCGTTTCATCCCTGAATCCACAAACCTTTCCCCGGAGAATGGAGACGGTTAACAAGGAGAAGTAAATAAATGACTGCTGACTGCCAAAATCAATATTATAGATTCGACAAGAACGTGGAACAGTTCATACATACAAAGACCCTGAACCACAACAGCCACTTCATTTTCCTAACTGAACATTTTCTTGTTTGAGACCTTGGGATTCTGTACTAAAAACTGGACTTTTAAGTGCCATTATATTATTCCCAAACTAGGAGTAAAAATCTTTTCAGAATTTAGTTTTTCTCTTGGCTGTCCTACTTTCCTTGTTGCTCACGAACATGGCCATGGTCAAGATGTGCCTTAAAATAAATTGTTGTTCGAAACAATTAATAATCCAAAGAAAATGAATATTGGAGGTTTATTCTGTTTTTACCATCCTATGTTTTTGGAATAATAAACTCAAGTTTCTGTCCATCCTTATTTGTTAGTTCCAGGTCTTTTAAGCTATTTAATTATTGCTCTTGACTCCAGAACGTATGTAAGCAAGTAGTCATTCCTTGTCGACGTTCAATAACTAAGAAGGATCAAAACCAATTTGTCTTATTTGTAAAGCATGTTCTCTTGTCTTTCCCAGTTTAATAAGTAGCAATGTGGCACAGACCTCTATGTCTCTTTGCATTTTTATGCTATAGGTAAAAGGAAAGGCATTACTAGGCACTTCAATACACCAACAGTGCTGGAGACATTAATTGGCACCTCTACCAAATAGTCTTAACATAATGTTAAGACATTTTTTTTTTTTTTTTGCAGTAGAATAATTTTATGCACAGATAATCTTGTTACCAGGCACAATGAGGAGGATAGCTAACTCTCCAAAGATTAGAAAGTTTGAACAAAAAAACACAATTTGGGTCTTAAATCTGCATAACAACCGTAAATAAAAACTGTCAATAATAATGTAAAAAACTTATAACTGTAAATGGGAAATTTTCTTCACCTGGAATTGTGTGCAGTCACACAAAAACAATTGTACCAAGTGTTTTAGAAAGAAAAGCCTATTCCAGTGGACCCCTAGCGTTTGTTTGGAGTTGCTACTGAACAGAAGCCCACTGTAATATAGATGTGATGGTATTAACAAATGAATGTGTTAGTGTTTTACCCATCCTTACCAAGGATGTCAGTGACATGTCACTATTGTGTCTTCAAATATTTAATTAGTAAATTAAACAAATGTGAAGAATATTATATTTATTCTTTACCTAATTTGGCCCAAGGGAGCTTCTGTGAAGAGGCAGAAAAAAGACCTCATGCCAGTCCTTTGATGCTTATGCTGCTTCTTAATTACTTTTGTAGTTGCTGATCTTACAGACAAAATAATTAACAGTATATTTTAATCATCCAGACATATATTTCCGTGGTCATTTGAATTCAAGGGTTAAAGTGGAAAACAACACATTTCTAACTTCTGTGATGGTTAGTGTCCTTTTAACTAAAAACATCTCACCGTTTGACCTTGATTTCAGTTCAAGGTCAAAATGAAACACATTCTGAAAAAACATCCTACAATCTTTCTAATAATCTCATGCGTGATCCCCAGTTGGAGTGTACAAGACTAAAAAAAAAAAAAGGACAAAGAACATAAAGAACATAATTTATTTAAGACAAAATCTAAAGCAGAAATAAATACACAACAGAACAACATGTGTTATTTTAGTTTGTGAACCCAAGAATGAGTAATAAACAGTTACAGTGGTAAAAAAACTGAAAATATCAACCTCTGTTCATCTGCACAGTGGATTCTAAAAATATCCAAAATATTATTTTCAATTACCCAGACCAGGCTATTGAATAAAAGGTAATCTCTCACAGATTTGTCAAACACATAAAAAAGCAAAAAAATAAAATAAAATTGAGACTTTAGCCGTTGTCCACTTCAACAACAAAATGAACAGCTTACAATTCAAATTAGAAATGTTTGCAGACATAAGTAAATAAATATTTTTTAAAAAGTAGATCAAAAAATAGATGATTATGACAAATATGATTAGTATGAGATTCAGATTAAACACATTTGACAAGGAATGAATTTGAAAATCGCAGGGAAGTAGGTGGAAGGGGGTTAAATCAACTCAAATCAATTTATTAAAACGCAATCTAAAAATCAGGCAGGATTGATACATTCACTATGTGCATATTCTCCATCATTTCAAACAGATACAAACAAAAGCTAAGACTGAAAATCAGGATTTTAAAAATGATATGGTGTTGCTGGAATATGTGGCTGTATACAAAACCGATGCCCGGAGTTCGTAAACTCCAGCTTGATCACGCATTAAGCCCAAAGATAAACAGCTGAACCAAAGAAAACGGTCATTTGAATCAACCTGACACAATGTGCTCTACATCCATAATAACACTGGGCAAGTGTGTTGGCCAGTGAGTCAAAAGCACAATGATTCCTTGTGCGCATATTTATATGTTCCTACTGACGAAGAACAATCCAAAAAGACTTACTGAACTCATGTAGTTCTTGTGTGAACCACAACCAATAATTCCCAATGTAACAAGTCAGATGAAGGCTGAAACTGAAGGCCGCAGAGTTGTAGTGCAGTTTCACAAAGTAGCAGAAATAAGACCTTCAGCAACAAAGCACAGAGTAGTTGGGTGTTAGGACCCTTACTTGGCACCATTTTAAGAAAAAATTTTTAAAAATGCACAATTAAATGTTTGAGATAAAAAAAAACAAACTATGTCATCTTAACAGCAGCTGACTTCTCTTCATAACAATGCCCTTTGAGTATACAGCTGACGATCAGCAGTGAACACATACCAGCAGAAAGACAGGGGTATAAGCCGTTACCCCGACTGAGCCCCACACACACTGAGTCCCCTCACACACCGACTACAATGGCTCAAGTAAAACCATGAAGGTAAACTATAAACAAGACAAACACACCAGAAATCCTTCCATTTTGAAATTCAACTTTGTCCTGCATGGCGAGCTCAGTCAGCCGACTCTAAGCACATCGACTTCAAGCTGAGGAGAAACGATCTCATGTCTTCTGCGAGTCCAGCTCTCGTTCTCCAACTCTAGAAGCCTGAGCTGGACTACAGCACTTCCGAGCAGAAATTCACTGGTCCTTAATACAACGTTTTAAGACTATGTGAGACATTTCAGGTACAAAATAAATAATAATAAAAAACAGGTAATTTTTTTTTAATAACGCAAAACTTTAAAGAGACTTCAGGAGTGAAGAACAACTCATAACCCTGTTCTGTTTCCTTTTGGTCCCAAACTCCTTCCATGTACTTAACCATAGAGCAATGGTTTGTTTCTTTAGGTAGTTAATTATAAAGAAAAATAAATGCCAAACAAATATAATTAAAATAAATCCAATTTCCCCAAGATTGTGGTTCATATCCCTGTGTGGGTCATTTTGGGTCTTTTAAAATTCGACACTTTATGACCTCAGATTAAACCAAAACTGTGAGCAACCTCCAGCAGAAAGCTAATTAATAGCTTTATAGTCATAACACATTTCCTTACAGTAGTCTGCGAGTAGATTGTAGAACACTTATTTAAAACCGCTGGTTGTCAAAGCAGGTACAAAATGTCCCCATGCTGAACACAAACTCACGCATGGTGTTTGCAAAACATCCCGAGGTAGACAACCAACTTTATTATCCAAAAAAGGTTGGGAACAAAGAGACCAAACCTATAAGACCCGGTGGAGAGGAGAAATGACCTGTACAAGACGGAACCAAGCAGTGAACAAAATCAGTTTCTAAACAAACAGAAAACACAAAAATGATAAGGAAAAGAAAACAGTCTGATTAGAATAATCCAGATATTCTGTGATTTAAGTGCAGTTTCTTTACAATCCACCAATGGGCATTTATTTCCTTCGACAAGAATATTTCCAAATTGAAAAGTTAGTCAGTGGGAACTAAAAGAGGACAACTCACCTGTCTTTTTAATGAACACTTTTCTCTAAACATTACTGTGGATTTCATATGAGTGGCAGTAATGCTGGCCAGTCCACTAAGACTTAAACAATTAGCTTCAAAACAATCAGCTAACGTCAAATATATTTGACTCCGATTGTTACTCTTGAAGAGCTGCATGTCAAAATAGATGTTGAAGAAAAATGATAAGTAATAATTTTGTAATTATTCTAATCAATATGTTTGAATATCTTAGTAGAGGGGGAGCATCAGGTTTCAGATTTTAAATAGATTTTGCGTTTTTTTCAAAATTTTCAAGTTAAATCAGTAAAATTGTAGTGATTTTACTTTCATACCAGTAAAATCGCTAAAATGTGCTACGATTAAAAGAATGACCTGGCGATCATTGAAATCAGAGATAATTTAAAGAAAATGATAACATTAAAATTAGTACTCTAATTGACTTCTTGGAAAGCATTAAAGGAGCTGCATCATGTTTTAATTATAGTTAAAGATATCTGAGAATGTTTGAAATGACCAAATAACGGCATGTAGCTTGCAGTCACTAAATGGCTTTTGCCATCAGTTTCTATGGAGAGAAGCAGAATTGCATGAAAGCCATTTTTCCATTTCCTAATGTCAATCAGAATCTCTGATTATTTTATTGTGTAAAATTAATAAATCTGTCTGTCGAGTTTTTACGTCACTTTACCGATGACACTGACTTATTAACCTCTCATTGTTTAATGGTGAGCCTTGTAAAGACTTAGAGCTTTTGCTGCTCAAATTAATGAAAAACATCACTTCTATGCAAGTTAAATCAAATAAGAGTTCACAGTCATCTATGGAGGAAGCACTGGGAGTAAAACCAAGAGCTCTGATGATATGATCAGTTGTTCTGAGGGGGTCAGAAACATGGAGGAGAAGGAGGAAGAGTTGTGGAGCAGAGTCATGAGAGGGCCCCTGCAGCCCCCCCCATTAAGTCCTTTTCAGACCTTGTCCAGAAAAGCAGGGGTTTAAATGCCACATTTTGGGATTGCTGCTGATGCTATGCCGCCATGAGATACTGATGGTAGAAGAGGCCAAAAAGAGAGGTGGAGAACAGACAGGCAGCAATCCACCAGGTGAAGAAGGAGAACAGGCCCCTGAAAAGTAAGGGGCTAAAAACAGTTCGTAAGCCCCCAAGAGCCATTGAGAGTTGGGCCACAGATGCCCGGGCTCCAGTTTCCACCACTGTGTCTGGTTTTAGAGGTGCTATTTGTTCTGTTCCGATAACAGAATCAGAGTTTATCTCATGGAGGCAAGGCAAGTCTTCTTCAGGATAGACCCACCAGGAGTGACCACCTTTTGCAAGTGAAGAAAAGAAAAGGGAAAAGAATGGCTTGATGTTATAAAAAGCAAAGACTATTCAACACAAATGTAAAATACAAAGGAGTGACTCACCTAAAGTTTTTAGCAGCAAAGTTGTATGTAGCAACATCACCAGTGGTGCCGCATACTGTAGTGCGATTACGCACAAGTAGTAAAAAACACGTGCAATCTAGAGAAGGAAGAATGGCATTAGTTCAGAATCTTTCAGATTTTTTTTCTTTTTTTTTTAAAATAAAAAACTGTTGCAAGATGAAACATTTCCAAACATTCAACATTGTGAATCCAACATTGTCATTGGCTGACTTTTTGAATTTCTGAATGGCTGATTCTCGGTCAGGGCCAATGAAACTGAAAATTATACCATTTTAGTTAACGGTGAATTTTCTAAGGTTCCTCAATATTTAAAATTATTTTAAAATAAAAACTAAAAAATAAGTTAGAACAACGGCAACAACAAATAATCTGATTGGTTAGTTCCTAAAACTGTAATGTAAGTTAAAAAAAAAATAAAAAAAATATCTGAAGACAGGACACATTATTCAACACATCTCACACCTCAATGTAAATTGGTGGAATTTAAAGTAGTAGAATTTTTACATCTATAGTTATAAAAGAAAATGCAAAAGCATAATATTTGTAGGTTTAAATAAAAAATATTACATAGTACATGACAACCATTCTGAACTAAAACTATAACTCCAGAAGACAGAACTGTTCTTCAATATTTAATACTAAACAAGGTGCCAAGTTTAGATTATCTTAAATAGTACAATTTATAAAGAAAATAGCTTCAGTGTTGTAGTTTAAAAGAAGCACAAAACTATGAACAAAGTCGTTACCATCTTCTGCAGGTCAACTGTACTTATCCGTCCTGCTTCCTTCTTCATCTGGTCCACACCTTTCTGTGCCAGATTGAGGTAGGCCTGCAGGTGATGTCTCATCATGACGAGTCGGAGCACACACATCAGTATAATAACCCATAACCGCAACGAATCATACGTCTGCTCGCTCATCCTGGCATTAATGGGAAGGTGAAAATAAAGGTGGAGAAACAGGGGCGGGGAAAAAAAAAAAAGGCATTTTTTTCTGCTCCACAAACTTAACGCATCGTGAAAGCACCATCTGGGTGGTAAGCAGAGGAACAGAGACAGGAAGAAATGACAAGGGGAGGAAAAAGAGCCACAAACAGCTCAGAAGAAAAGGCAAGAGAGGGTGAAATTGAGGTATAAAAAGGTGAAAAGGGGGTAGTGTAACATGAAATTAAACTTAATCAGGTTTGACCTTGATGCGCATAAAGGCCTATGTCAAAGGCAGAAGAAAGTTAGATACACGACAGACTCAAACAACAAGTAGAGGATAACATCTTAGAATTAATGATGAGAGAGAAGTTAAAAAAAAACAACTTTCTTTTTGTGGTGAAGACAATGTATATGTTGCTGTCACTTCTTTTATGAACTAAACACAGCACTTCCTTTATCCCGCTGTTGTAAACTTTTCAGCTGTTTACTTTGGTTTTATGTATTTTCTTTAAAACACAAAGGTAAGAGGTTTTTCCAGCAAGATGTTTGACTTATAAGTGGTGGATTAGTAAAAAGTTTGAATTAAAGTATCTCATTTGCAGAGTGAGGAAATCATTGTGGAGAGATTTGTGAAATAATGCCAAACAAAGACATAGTTGAAGATCAAAAATAGATATTTAAACATTACCATGGTTTTATTGTTTGGCTTGATAAGCATCCATGACCTCATGTTGTAGTTTAATAAAAAAGTTTTCAAAATTAGCAAAAAAAAGTACAAAAGGACCTAACTTAAAACACAAAACCATAAAAAAAAAAAAAAAAAACATTAATGATTTCTTTAGAACTGATGGACAAAATGATCTGCAACCTGTCTTACTGTAGCATTATACCGTTCTTCTATTGCATGAGACTCTCTGCCACTAGGCTACTGCTGACACAGCATGGTGCTGCTGTGGAACGGTTATGATGACAATCCAGATGCTGGTTATTGGACTAACACAAAAAATGGAAAGATGACAAAAAGATGGCAAGTTCACCACATCTTCTATGTTTGATGTTGCTTTTTCAACAATATATAAACAGCCACCACTTTTAATAATTGAGCATATGGTGACGGAGCTACTTGGTCTATGTATTTGTGCTTTTTTTTCAGAAAAATAAGGACATTTTTTTCTACTTTTATAATCACAAACCAGATGTTGGTTCAATAAAGTATTGATTAACATCTTAAGTTTACATTTAAAGATAACTACAAACACCTTTCTTATGAGCAAAAACTTATTTTTGCTCATATAAAAACTAGACGAGAATTTCACATTCATACGTCAAATACCACACAGTTCATATTATATTTATGAGGAAAAAAATGCTACAGCATATAGTATAGTATGGTATACACAAAACTTTTACTTACAAAGGCACGCTCTCTTTCCCAAGAGTGGGATTCAATATGTAGTCCTTGGTAATGGGTTTCACCCATAGCAGGACCATAATGAGGGGGGAGAGGAAGTTGATATAAAGCAGAGTTCTGTGAAACAATTAAGAATAGAAGCAGAGACAACTCAGTACCAGTAAGCTTTACTCCAATGTTTTATCATTTTCAATTAAACCAACCTGAAGTTATACATTTTTAACCCTGATGTGAAGTTAACATGCAACCTTCCCTGAAAGAGGTGACAATATTACCATGGCAAAAAGTTTTGAGGGTACTGGAAATAATCCCCTCTGGTTACAAGGTTTGACAAGGTAAGCATTTGAAGGGAAGAGGAAGCCATTTTGGAAATGCTACTATGCCAAAGTGGATTATGTGAATGTAATGTGCTTTCTGCTCAGCAGCTCCTATCATGGCCAGAGACATGCCACCCAGAGAGTTTTTATCCAGAAAAATGTCCAAACTGAAGATATCTTCATCTCAGTCAGAGTGATCTCTTGTATCGCACATGTCCAGAACAACATAAGACCTTTCTGCTTGACTGTTCAAAATATAATCATTTGATCCTGGGGACTGAATGGGTGACCAGTCTGAACAGTTTTAAGGTCTACGAAAACAAACAAGACTAGTCTAAAAAGCTTACACCAACATCAGCAAGAATTATTTTTTTTTTTTTTGCTTATTTGTGCCCTTCATGATATTTTTTTCAGCCAGATAAGTTCCACAGCTAAACAGGTGGTAGTGCTTAATTAATACATTTTATTAGTTTTAAATCCAAAAATATTAAACATGGAATTGATACATTACTTCTCTCTTTATTTTAACTTTATGGAAGAAAGAAACACTTTTATTAGGAGCTAGGACACCTACCTCCTAGGCCTACAACTAACCAAAATGTGGTGAGCATCACATCTAAAACTTGCATTTCAGTTCACTTTAGATTTGCCTAATTCAAGACAAAACACAGTAACAAAAAGAAGAAGAAGAAATACTGGCACAGCAGGGGTTCACCGTCTAATCTTCCTGCTGTTTGATTTCATTCGCCACAGAGTTTAACTGGGTCAATGCACCACAGAGAACTGCACCCGGTGTTCATAGGCTCCTGATATCCAGGCTCACATTTTACTGTGGCAAGTTTAGACTTCTATTAGTTCTTTACCTCCTCAGTGTTTCACTGTTTGTGCTTTGGAGGCCCAACAGATGTGTCATTCAGGTCACAAATTGTGCCGATCCAATCACTATATATACATATATTAATATAAAATAAATAATTGTAGTTTTTTAAAATTTAATTTAACTATTTTTATTAACTGAATAAAGAATGGATAAGTAGGGTATTAAAATTGTCAATGAAGAGTAACTGAATGTTAAAGAAGAAATACAAAAAAAAAAAAAAGTCTCCTAATGCAGAGAAATACAATATGGCAAGACACTCACTGCGTAAATTTTGCTGTGGTTAGGTTAAGTGCATCTAGGTGCATTTGGGCCAATCGTAGGCCAGGGAACGTTAGAAATGCTCCAATCAGAGAGCAGAGCAGGGCCAAGATCAGCTTGAAGGTGAGCTTAGATATGGGGCCCCTGTGAAAGAGAAATGACACAAAAGCAAATGAAAGGAAGTTACAATTCAAAGAGGTCATCTTCCAAATGATCGTAATTTCAACAAACAGCAACACAGCTATGAAGAGAAGACTTGGTTAGACAGCAGCTGTACACAAACACAGCTGGCAAGAACAGCCATATCCATGAGTTAAATATTTGGCAACAAATATAAACTCCAGATTCTGAAGATAATGTGACAGCAGTAAGAAATGTAGGTGGAACCAGTTCAAAACCATGAGCACACGGCTTGTTTAAAATTAATTTCAATCCTGACATAGAACCAGATGAGAAATGCTGAATCAGATTGCTTGGTCTAAAATATTACAGGTGTGCGGAGAGATAGATGTATAAGCATTTTTAAATGCTTAGGGACGGGGATGCTGACGTTGAACCAAACCTTGAACACCTGCCGAATACAAACTTGCTGAACAGAAAACAGATATTTACTGTCTGAAAAAAACAACTACGGTATTATGATACAGCTGCATAACTCCGAGATTATCTCTTTTTGGAAAATGTGGTTAAAGAATATTTGTCCAAAATTTGTAAAAAAAAACAACAAAACAAATTGTTTTATGTTTCAGAATCACAGCTAGAGTCCAAAGATATCGCAGTAAAAAATATACAGAAATTCTAAAAAACAAAAAAAATCAAGCAGCTTAGTCATAGCTTTTCAGCACATTTTTTATACTGTTTTATGAATATGAAAGCCTTCAGTACAAACATCAACTCACTCCTCATTAATGATACTGGAACCAATGTGCATATCATCCTGTGTCCACAGTCAGAGGAGCTAAGTATGAAAATGGTTCTGTTGAACTTTTGCCAAGACACCATGGCATATTTCAAGAGACTGAGGTGAGCCCATGTTTTAATGGACCATCAAACTGGATTTAGAAGTTAAATCCCCTATGTAATTTTAGGGGAGCAGTAGTAGGGCTTTTATTTTTACTATAATGTGGAACAAATACAGCAAATACTAGTGTTATATTTGTTTTTCATTAAAACCCCTTAAATCACAACTATAAGCATAAAAATAAGTATTGTACTTACTGTGATTCTAAGCCCTGATGCTCCAGAAATTGTTGAGCACTGTCAGAAAAGTTTGCAAAACCTAAGAGTGAAGAAACAGTGACTTACAAGTGACAAAAAGTTGTCAAAGCTATTTGTAAGAGCAATAGTGGTGCACTGACCTGTCTCCAGACCAAATTCCAGGTAGTTTTCAGTAACAATGAGAATGATCATAGCTTTGACAAAAAAAAAGAAAGCAAATGTGATGCAGAGGGATCGTTCGCCTCCTTCCTCCAGCTTGAAGTAGTGGGCCGTGAGGGAAAAGAGGATTTTACTATGAAGAAAAAGTCAAGGAAATTAACTGAAATGAAATGCAAGTACCTAAATAACTGATATTTTTGAACTTACAAGTCCAGTTTATAAAAATGTCACAATTATATGGTATTATAGAGCCTTGTGAATGTATTCACACACCTTAAACATTCTGTCTCAAAATTATAAACTTCAGTATGTTACTTTGAAATTGTACATCATAGGCCAAAGCAAAAAAGAAGAAACTGTGGTGTGCATTTGTATATTTTTCTAGGTGAAATGTGGTCAATGACAAGAGCACCTGTAAACAGCAATGGCTGTAGACAGGCACCAACACCCCTCGCGGCCCCACTAAATCAGTCAACTGGGTTGTGAAAATGGGCCCTTCAATCTGCGACACAGGCCGAGTCTGGTCAACAATGTGTTATTTTACAATCATTCAACATAACAGAAAAGCAGGAGAAAGGTAAAGTCAATGATGTGACATATTACTTTATTGTATTTGTGGTGTTTATTGTAGGAATAAACTGTGGCTTTTAGCAGGGTATCTATTGGCACTTATTCACATGAATTTCCAATTAAAAATAAGGAGCAGAACTGAGAGCATGATGTAAGGATACATGACAAAGGCGAGTACAAGTAGGCACCAGACCACACTGATGTTCATCTCTCCAGAGGGCTGAGCAACGCTGTAGTAAAGCTCTGTGATCAGATACACTGCAGTAGATGCTACTGTGAAATCCACCAGCCACTGGAACTCAGGGAAGTAATACAATGCTGAGGGGGAAAAGAAGACATTTAAAAGTTTTGATTATGAATGGATTGAGTAGAAACTTTCTCTTGGACAATATCTCTTGGACTTAGAAATATTTGTAAAAGTACCTAACGTGTCGACTTCTGTGATGCATTTTGTCTCCAGCTGCAGGTCTATGTCCTTTGGAACGGTTAGCGGTTTATTGTCTATGTGACCATTGTACTTCCTAGAGGAAAATAAGGGAACAAAACACCAAAGTACAGGGAAAAAGATCTACAGTTTTATAAGATATACAGATATTCAGAGCCACACATTGTGGTAGAAAATGGCCACCTTGAGTGCAACTATAATAATTCAATTACCTTAGCATTATCTGATCGAGAGAAATGTTTTATCTATCAATTCATGAATTAAAAAAAATAAAATAAAATTCTAACCTAACAAGGCCATCAAACAAAAAGAACAGTTAGCAGCCTCTCTTATGTTAACAAGGGGAGGGACACACGGACAGCTGGAGAATAGAGACCTGCTGTTTATGTCCTGGATTCAGACATACAATACCACCATAAGACTCAAACGACAAACAAGCCAGGGACAGATTTCATCTATGAGACACCTGACAGAAAAAAGTAAGATTGACTCCATCTCTGTCTGAGGGAGTCACTCTGTTAACAGAGGATGGAGTTCCATGGAATGAGTTGAAAAGGACAGTGGTTCATTTTTTTAGGGAATTATTGAGCATGTGGTGCTCGAGAGACCTGACCTGACCCACACAGTGTCAGAGAAAAGACGACAGAAACGTCTCAAGTTCAGATATAACATGGCAAGGATTAACTTAAAGATGAATCTTATTTTTATACACACTTCAACAGGGGAGTACAAAGAAAAACAGCTAAAGTTACAAGTTAGACGTGTGGTGTAACTTTTGTCAGCATCATTTTTAAGCAAAGCATATTCTGAGTTGCAAAATAATCTTAAAGGAAAATCATTTTCCAGAATAAAAGTCTGATATTTGATATTTAGGCAACTAAAGTATTTTAAACCATCATGTCTCAAAAATAGCATAAAATGTAGCAATCCCATTCCCTCCTCAGAAGAAGGACCTGCTTTTCTTGATCAAAACAAGATGAATTGCTTTAAACTCTAATAAAGTGCTGTAAAGATGAAACAAAACAACAAAAAATAAACTGTCTCTTCCATCGGATTTCAAACAGTCCTTAAAAGCCAAACATCAACATTTTTTTCTTGACACGAGTTTGCTTTGTATCCATCCAAATCATCTGCATTCTCAAAAAAAAAGGAATACTTTTGTACTGTCTGAGTGTCTTTACACTTTCAGAATTCCCCCAAAAATTGTCTTACCTGTCTTTCCTTTTCTGTCCCTTTTGTTTCCCAGCCAAGTTCCTTAACTCATCTTCCGTGGGGTGCTGATACCACCGCAGACTGTGAAGAAGATAAAAGGACGGAGACATTTTATCAAACAGTGAATACAGCAGTAAAGAGGTACAAAAAGCAGGTATTTTTGTGGAGATGGATAAGAAGAAACAAACTGAAGCTAAATTTACTCAAACTATGTGACTGCTGAGGTGTAAAGAGTAAATAAATATGGCTGTGGAGTACAGCTTGGATTTAAGAAAACTATTTTAGAAAGACTCAAATAGTAACCATGTGTAAACGGTAATTTTGTTTTATAGAAGAGGTAGATTTCTCCCACTGTTATACATATTCAGTTCCATTTAGATCCATCCTCACAGCTATGTTCAAATCCCACGGACAACTTTAGACTATAAGAGGATTTATGTTGCTCAATTTTCCTGTTAACAGCTTATTAGCTATGAAAGCATATTCACATGAAAAAATGCCATTTCTACACTGTATCTCTAACAATGCTATTTATCACGTCAAAAAACGTGTGAGTATTTTATCCATTGTGATCAGTTAGCTTCAATAATTAAACTTCAAAAAAATATTCATTTAGAAATGTCTTTTTGAGGAAGACTCGTTCTGTAACACTCATTGGCCATGATTAGAGGCCCTACTGTCCTTTGCTTCAGATTTTCTGTACTTTTCCAGACTTTCCATATGATTTTGGTGCTCAGTCTTTAAATATGGACCCCATAAAACTACACAAGAATGGATGGGTGCACTGATAAATGGACACATGGATGGACTGATTACAAGATGAACAAATAGGTGGACAAGAACAGCAATATCAATGGACAAAGATGGACGACTTGAGTCATGGATGGAAGAAGTGATTGGATAAACAGAAGAATGGATGAATAGATGTGTAAACAATTGACAAATTGATGCATGGGCATCCAAGACACAGCTCTGTCAGGCCATGTGTCAAATCTGTACAGGTAAGTTTCAGCAAATCAAGGAAAACGGTGCATAATTTCTTGAACGTCACTCACACTATAAACACACTTTGTACATGTCACCCAGAAGCCTTCCAAGAGAGAAACCTGGCTTTTCTCTTCTGGAGCATTGGATGATACTTGAAAACCAAACTTAACAGTGAAGGGTTGATAACCACCATGTTTTGGAGCAGTGAAGGTGAACTGTGATGTGCATTACCACAATTAAATATTCCTGAAGTACAGGCCTATTATTGAGTTTTGTCAAAGTTCACATTGTATTACCCATCCAGTCAAGATTTAGTGAGTCATGTTCAAAACTTTCACAGCACGTTTACATTTATGCAAGCTTAAATGAGGTCTACTGAATGACGGCAGTGAGGAGAATATCATAAGATAACTGGTTATCAAGCCATCCCGACACACACTCTGGTATTGTCTTGGCCACATGTCTGCCACAGACAGTAAAATAAATTGACAGAAGCTTAGCCAGCTTGCTAATGTTATCATCAAGCAAATTAATGTGGATAAAACTGTAAAAGCGACATGTTGGACTATCCAGGAAGATAGCCAAGCAAGGAAGAAAGTCAGACAGAAAAGAACAATTTGAGCCCCCTTAAGATTTTGAAATGGCACTTAAGTAAAAAGTCAGACAGTTCATAGAGACAAGGCTTAAATAATTGTTGTGCAGGATGCAAGGTTATATGGTTAAAGTGCTCAAATCTAAATATTTACTTCTGCTGACCCCTCAATAAAATTGTGACTTACCAACTTCATAAGGACATTTGCTGATTTTAAGAAATTCCAATCTTTTTGTGTTATGTATCGACAAGCCTTACATACATACATACAACTGTCAGTAATACAATTTAACTTGTTAAATAGTATTACTTTCTCAGATCATAAATGTTCTGCAGAAGAATTAAAATCAATGTCAATATATAGCGATTAATGTCCTGCAAGGTGCAAATAAAAGCAAGAAGAGATTTTTCTTTTAGTGGACACAACACTGAGAGGCACACACATTTTATTGTTTCTTCCTGGAAGATTCAAACCATATCCATATGTTTGTACTTAGACATTTTGTGGTTAAATATTTTGTGTAAGATAATTATACCATGGTAGCATAGTTTGCCATGCATTTCAAGGGATGGTTAAGTAAACATGCAGCAAATAATATAAAGTAATAAATGCTTTTCAATTTTGACAAGGGGAAAGCTAGAGACACACCAGCTGTTTGATTTTTGTTGGTTCTTTTAAAACAATTTTAAATGTGCAAAGTGTTTAACTTTAATTGATGTAAACTCTCATCAGATGGATCAGGCCTTTTATAAATGATGATACATTACCTGCCACTGCACAGGAGCCATCTTGCGAAGGAATAATGAGGTAAAATTTTCTGAATTACACTGGCCATTATCATGGTAACCACCAGCTGCACACCAAACAAAGCCTGTGAGAAAAGACAGTAAATACACTTGGTTATTAATTTAAATGGTAACGACAAATATGAATTATCCTCTAAAGAAACATTAACTTTTAAATGTTCTTCAACTCTTTTGGTGTGGCTATTCTCAAAAATACACTTAACACACAAAGGGTTTAAAAACACCCACAAAACTAAAAGCCAAAACAATAAAAAATATAAAACAATATAAAAAATTGGTTGAAAATTTTCCGTGAGCAGTTTGTGTTCATCTACCATCAACATAACAGGGAAAATTAACAACTACTTTCTTTTTTACTTCAAAATATAACTCACAAGTACAGACATAGGATGTTGCGCCATATCTTCAGCAGATAAAATGAGTAGGTACCGACTTTCTGCTGACAGCAACTTCACAAGACAGTCTTCACTTCGACAAGAAATATAGTGGAGTTTTAATATCATGAGATCTTGTGCCAAAGAAATTCCTGCTAATTTGTCAATGTTTTTTTTAAGGCACCAGTGTTGATGTGACATTTCCCGAACTTCTCTTTATTGAGCTAGTGACTTAAAGTGACGGGTCTGGACAGAAAGTTGAAGACATTCAAGAATTTGCTTCAGTGTCCTAAACAATAGGTCTAGAGTTTTCTGCAAAAGGGACTGAAATGACCTAGCTTGAGTTCATTTCCAAATCCAAATCATGCAGAGACTAAAACAAAGGAGCAAGTGGAGATTATTCTGCTTTTCTATAACAAAACACTTTTTTATACATTTACTTGTATATGGTTGTGGAGATGCTTGTCAAGAGTGACTACTGGTATCTTAAATACCACATCAATTTAGCTGCTCAAGTGCAGCATTATTTTTTTTTACCATTATGCCGATTATTATAAGCCCAGAAATGTCACACACCTGGTAATAATGCATCTAAATGCATAATTTTCCTTCTCTGTCAAGCTTAAACTTACTGAGCTTATGGAAGATGTCAAGACCTGAAACAGTAACTGTTAACAAAACTATGCCAATAAAAAAGTCCAAAATGCAACAAGCTAAACTAACAAAACCAGATTTCACAAAATCCTGTCATCTTTATCAATAACAAAAGAAGATCCTTCAAACATGGTTTCAATAGCATCAAAGCAGCTTCACGTTTCATAATACATAAGTGTTGCATTTTCAGAAAATTTAAGTTCTCGAAATTTTTCCATCAAACTATTGTGTGGCACATATTTCAAAATGTCTCTTGGCCAGACACAGCTTTTATGGTTGTTATCCAAAGATTTAGCAACAAAAGGGGCTCAATTCCAACCCAGGACCCTCAGATCAATATTCACTTAGGTTTAAGAGGCCAGAATCATTCCCATCAAGCTGTGCTTTTATCCAGCTGCTGTTGGCTCAGATCTGTTGGTGGGTTTCTCTTTGGCAATCGGTAGGAATCATTTATATCTTTTCCTGCACACACTTCAGCAAAAAGACCAATTAATCCATGATAAAATGTTTTCCTTTTCAAGGGGGTGTCCTACGGCTGCAGTGCTTGAACTGGAGCCAGTTAAACTACACTTAGAAAGCCATTATCTGAAAAATCCTGTTGCTTCAGCGTTTTCTTCACATCATGACCTCAGTCTCTGTAATTCTAAGTAAATAAATTCCTTTCAAATAATTCAGATATCCTCTGTAGTATTAACTACAAAGCTGGGTTTCAGAATAAGACATTTTCTTGATCTCTAGCTGAGTGGTGACATTAAGGATCCTTGTTACTTTTTCTGTATTTATGCAGAATACAGAAAACGTATTCTATTCTCTGTGTCAGTCCGCCTGGCACTAAGGTGCCAGATAGACCTTTATCAGAATGTCAACATACAGTTAGGGCTGAAACGATTCCTTGAGTGATACAAGTATCTCGATTATCAAAATTCCTTGAGGAATTTGTCTCAAAAGCTTCGTTAAGTTATGTTTTATTATTTAATACACCTGTTGCGGCAGGGTTATGACTTGCGTGTCACTGCGGTCTCACTTCTGCCTAAGTTGTTGACGAAAGCTAAATGTTAGCAACATAACGTCCAGTTTTCAAGTTTGGCCATGGTGATTTTCTTGATCGGTGATAATGTCTGGATCGTTGTTGTTGGTTGGGGGACCTATAAGCATCCTTAGAATGACTGGCGCAATGCCTGGAGTACGGCAACTTTTACTCCTCCCAGTGCTGCTCCCTGTTGGCGGTTCAGAGCACTGCAGGTGTAGTTATGCAGGTGAGCGCATAGACTGTGCATTAGATAATTAATGTGTAGCTTTACGGACAAACCAGAAAATTTGTTTCATATCATCCCGGTCTCAACACATGTGAGGCGGAACGCATCGTGGCGGTACGTAGCTGGTAGATGTGTCTCTGTGTGTGATGAACGAAGGTGTCAAATCCCGTCGCTAACATAAACACAAAGGCTACAAATGTGTGGGTAAGGTGAGAGCTCATTTATTAAATTGACTGAAGATGAATAGAAAAACAAAAAGCAGGGACATCTTTTTATAGGCATATTTGTGAGCCTGCTGCTTTATTACTAAATTGATATAATTTCAGATCTTTGTAGAACTTTTCTTCAGGTTAACTTGGAAAGTGAGCTGTTATTGTTACAAGTCAGTTTTCTAAACTACAGAAAGGTTATTGTTCGGGAAGCTCAAATGTGAAAAATTGGACTGATGTTGATATGCAATAGTAATACTGCTGTTATGTCAAATTTACCAATGTTTTATTTGAGCTTTTTGTTAATCCGATTATTTGATTAATTGCAAGAATAATTGATAGATTACTTGATAACTAAAACATTTGTTTACAAAAGCCCTACATACAGTAAAATAAATATGTTGAGTTCTTTGTTTCCAGTGATCTGAAAACCCAAACATATCATTACTTATTTGCCTCTAAGGTGACAAACATAATGGATACAGTGAAAACCCAGCGCACAGAATAATCTGAGTAACAATTTACAACAATACCAGTGTGACATAGAAAGTGACAAATATATTGAGGACATAAAAGTGTGAGTTATATTCACTCAACTAAATTTTGTAAAGGTCATAGGGAGCCACAGTGTTGCCCAGCAAGGGGTGAGCTCCAAAACATGGAGTCAATACATCTCCAGACATACTGCAGGAGAGGGTGGGAGCAATTTATGTTGCAGTTATACTCCCTCATACTTGACGCGTGACCAAACACAACCTGTCTGAGTAGAGACATTTCTTCATCAGAGTAATGGTCATGCTATATAGGTCAAAAGCAGACAGTCTTCCTCAGGCGAATGCTGACCATTCTCTGTGGGGACCTGCAAGGATCTCAGACCTAGGGGAAATTGACCCAGCATGTACTCCCTTATCTTGCCCAGTCCGCTTGACCCCCTCCACATGACAACCAAATGAAATCTGCAGGGGGTAGGGTTGCTGGAGCTGCAGTGATAACCACCATCTATCTATAAGTGCTGGATGAAACTAACTTTGTAAGCTGTAAAACATATATTGACTGACAGCTGTCTAGCATCATTCAGCTCCACTTCTCCTGGGTTTACAGATGATCAATACATATCAGGGCAAAAATGAAGGAAACCACTAAACGCTGTTGCCCAGACTCCTGTCAAATAATATTATATTTACCCCAAATCTATTCACATACTTAATTTTTTTTTTTTAAATAGCAGAGTTGGGTACCAGGGCAGTTATTCATCCAGCAACCTGTTGTGTTTTTAAGTGGAAATCTTTTTTAAAGTTGGAAGGAAATTTAAAAATATCACTTGATAATTATGTGTGACTGAAATATTGAAGATTAATACAGAAACACCAACTATAAAGTCTTAAAAAAATGCAACCATTTTAAAAAGACTAAGCAATGGTAAGACTAGTGGGGGCACAAGTAAAGCCTGGTGGCTCGCCAGGCTTATAATATACTGGGAAAAACCCTGAAGTTTGACGATTTGTTTATTGATTCAACACAAAGGTCCAACATTATGATGAGCAACTGACCCTGATGAATGAAGTTAGACATGTTATCCGTCTACTGCATTTCCCACTGAAGAAATGTTAGAAAAACATCTAGATAATAATTGAGTCCTTAAATAATATAGGCTTTTTATTAATATTATTTTAAGCTGTTCCATAGCTTAAAATGATAAGCTCTGGAGCTTATTATTTTGGCTGGTATAACGCTTGTTATACCAACAAGCGTTCATATATCTGTGTATGGAGATGTATAGAGAGTTAGTGAAGGCATTTTGGAATTAAATGCAAAAAATTGTGAATACATTAGTCACACAATAAGTATAATAAAGATAAACAGTATCTCTAGATTATTTAAAAAACATATAATTAAACATAATGGTAAATGTGCACACGCAAGCTTTTTATCATCAAATTTAAACTGCGAAATGCAACGTTTGACTAAAAGGTTTTAAATAATTATAAGACTAAGTACAATATGACAAAGGCATTATTAGTTGCCACCTGTAAAATGAGTGTTTAATATATTGTAGCAATTATTGGAGCATAAAAGACAATTGTTGATAACAGTTTTTACAGATGTTCCCATTTCAAATTCCATCCTTCTTCTAGACTCAAACTTTAATGGTTCTAAACTCTTTTCTCATCCAGCAATGAAGTGTAATCCAAAACTGGACTATGAATTTATGCAGATATTTTCACAGTAGTAAGACTGAACTGTAAACATCAATGTCTGTAAGAAGAAAAACAGAACAGCAAATAAAGAATGGGTGGATTTAAAACTTAAGGATGATTGGGATAACTGATGGATCATTGTATACTATATTTATTCAATGGTTTAGTTTAAACTCTTCCTTCTCATGCTTATTCAGACTTGGAAAATATCTAAATCAGCCTGTGTATTAACCCTGTGATTACAAACTTAAGGGGAATGACAGGATTAGTCAAGTCTGTGAGTTTTCTTTTTTTACTTGAGATGAATAACGAGTGTGTATAAAAGTCACTCTTGCTTTTGTTTTTTTGCAACTATCCTATAGCATATTTCTCATTGATACTTTTCCCATAAAACAATTTTGAACTTCTTAAAAAAACAACTAAAAAAAAAACATATCATAGAACTACTAAAAGATTTAGTTTGTTAATTATCCAAATCATGGTATTTATACTTGTTTTTATAACTATGTTTGTATGCAGGTAAATACAAATTGGGTAAGTCGTTCTATTTAAATATCTGTCACAAGTTTAGAAATAAATTACACCAAAGTTAGGTGGGTCAAATGATCCTGACAGTCAACCTGAGGGCGTCCAGAGGTCAAACCGTGCAGGTCAGGTGAATCAACACAACCTTCACTACACAGCTTTAACCTGAGTGACAAGCCAAATGTTTACCACTAAGTTGATTTTGTTCTTGCCATATTAATAATCTTATCTTAATTTTCTAATTCTGATCATTGGCTAAAAATATGTCTTTCAAGTAACCTGGGCTCCTTAACTGGCAGCTTTTTTCATGTTAGCTAACTGCAATTAGCAAGGTAAGAAGTATATTGATATGCTGGTTTAAGTGTGATAAATTTACCGCTTCAGTAGTATAAACGAAGCCTGCCCTGTTTCTTAGCCATAACAGACCAACGCATAACTTATTGATACCTAGAACAAGCTGATAAAGCAACAGATACAGACACCTGCTATGGCTAACAAGCTGTGCTAAAATGAGACCATTTCTTTCACAAATATAATAGCTAACATAAACGAAACGACAAAACCACTACAGATATCTCAATACAAGAGAAATATGTCCATTTGATGGACCATCAGTGAACCACTACAGTAAAGTGAAAGCATTGCGTTCAGTTGCTTGCTGACATACTCACCATGTTGATGAAGTGCTGCTAAAACGGACTCTACCCCAGCAACACACAACACCCCTACTCCGAAATCAAGTAGCGAGGAGCACATAAGCCCTTCTTTCGATGGCTGTGCACAGAAATGAAAGGGCTCCTACCAAAATAAAACGTGTCTCTCTATGTCTTCAAAGATAGGCTTCATCGTCAGAAAAATCAATGGATTCAACCTCCCCTCTCAAGTATTTTCAACTGCAGTAGAGGTCACACTGAAACTCTGGGTGAGAAGGAGTCCTCGGATTTGCCTGTGTGAAAAAGCGCCACTCTAGACAACAACGGCATCTTCACTTCATTAAGGTACTACAATCTCCTGCTATATTAGAAATCTTTGGATATTTTTAATACGCGATTGTGTAGTTTATTTAGTCAAAAGTATTATTTGTGCTATTTAACACAGGCGTGAGCGAGATGCCTATGGTGATTCAGTAGGACCGCCTCAGTCAGGAAGGACCAACAAATCATTAGCATACATGACAGATTTGTAGTTGTTTCTAGGCACAACAGAGGAAACGGTGTATCATGCGCTATTTAAAAGAAGTAACATTTCCAAGATTACCTGGACACACAGAACTACGTTACTATTTTAAACTGATGCAGAAATACCCCAACCTGATTTTACACTGTAAAATAGCAATTAGAATTATGACTGAGTAAAAAATCAATTTACCTTTGCATGTTTTTTTTTTTCTTTTGAGGTTTTTATTTAAGTAAAGAGCTCTGTTTCACTTCAGAGCCAATCATTTTCAAGGAGTAAGGCATACCAAGCCAAAGACCTCTAAATCTTAAAATATGAGATTTAAAGGTCCACACTTAAATGCCAAACAGAGAATCTGCAACTGAACAACCAATTTATATGTTTATTTTATTGACATAGAACCACCTGGGTAGGCCACTATTTTACCATCAGAACTGCTTTATTTTAGCTGAGATTCAACAAGGTTTTAGAGTTTTTCATTCTCACTGACATAACATGTACTTATTACAGGTTTGTCTGCATAACTGAAGATCTGTGTGGTTTACCTCTGTTTCCTTGAAACATCAGCTACATAGTACTTCTGCATTTTTAAAAAAATGAAATATCCATGAATTTGTCAGAAAATTAATTGGTAAAAACCTGAATCTAGTGTAAATTCATTGAAATAATGTTTTGCTTTGTTTTGTTTTTTTTTCAGAGCACTTACCATATAGCTTTTTGTGCTTCCTTGACATGCATACAAGTTATTGAGTATAGATGTTTGCAAAAGGATTGCTAGCTGTTTGCATACTCTATATTGGCAAATAAAATTAAGCTCAAATGATTGATCATCTCCTTCTCAAATCAGTGTTCCATTTCTAAGTGGATATTTTGACTACAAACTGAATTGGGTGCCAATGTATAGGAAGAGTGGGAAGGCTAGCTCTAATGGTAACCCTTGAAAAGAGATGTAAGTCATTGAAAGATTTTTGACTCAAGAGTTTTGGTTAGCGATTTGAAATGAAAAAAAACTTAAATGAGTTGGGGACCAGTGCTTATATAGCCACAAAGTACACACTGATGAGTTTGCCGGTCCATAAGAGGTAACCAAAAATACCGATCCAATGTCGACATTAAGTCTATCCAGTAGGTCAGTTGCTGAACATTACTGGCATACACAAGGTGCATGTATGGTATGGCACTTGAAACATAACAGTATACAAAATATTGCAACCAAGAGGTTCCTTGTGATTATATTAAGAAAATGGGTACACTTGGTGGACGTGGTCACCAAGGCTAATCAGCCAGACTGTATGTATGTCGTAATTAATCCATCTTCACTTGGTACTAAAAGGTCTACTGTCTATAAGTAAAATGTCTGCCACATAATTACATAATTAAACAGTTGATAAATAGATCACTGGTGACTAGATGCTTTTCTGTTGTTTTGCACCAGTTCTTGACTATGTACATCTAAAAATCACAACTGAAATCTAATCTAGTTGAACCATGCAATGTTTTTTTCTATCTATTCTGGTGCAATTTTGATGAGTGCAATGTAGCCCCAGTTTCCTGTTCTAACCTGGAGGAAGTGGCAACTGATGTGGTCTGCTGATGCTGTAGCACATCAGCTTCAAGATTTGATGAATTGTGTGTTCTGACATGGTGTTCCCCCATTCCTTTTAGGTATAGTATGTGTTTAAGCTGTAGTTGCTTCTCAATAATTTCTAATCACTCTGTTTATTCTCCTTAAATTTTTCATATCAATGTTTTTTTTTTTGGCTATATTTCTGATGTCATACCTTTGAGTTTGAAATTAAAGCTATTTCATGCACAATTTTGTTTTAAGATTTTGTCTAAACACCATGACACCATAAAACCAGGATGCTTTGGCTCAACACTTTATACTGAAAGAATTTTATCACTGTCATGTTGAATAATAGTTGATGCTCCAATAACATAGAGTAGATGAAGAGTATAATTCAATGAAAAAGAATAAAAACTACAAAAATCACAAGAAAGAAACTAGCAAGGGGACTTGTTGTTCCACTCTGTGTTGTGAACACAGAGTGGAACAACGAAGTGACAGAAGTAGATGAAAGGATCCAGCAGGTAGTGAGTGAGAAATAGAGGGTTAAATACTGGGGAGGTCGCATGAACGAAAGTCTTGGGTTGATGGGTTAATTAATTGCAGGTGTGAGTGGAGGATGAAGGGAAGCCGGACAGAAAGAGAGAGTGGCACAGGGGGCGAGGGAGAGTACACAGGAGAACAAGAAGTAATTCTAACACTAAATAATAACTAGACTAAAGAAACCTAATAAAGCTAGAGTAACAAATAATAAGAAATAAACATGACTAGAAAAACTAAGAAGAAATGAACTTAAGGAAAGCAGGAGCAATACAGATGTAACTGACATAACACAGAAATGAACAAAACCCAGAACCAAATCAATGACAATATCAGCTTGTGCCTAATAAAAAAAAGTGGTAAGTTTGATGTTCTTCATAATTACAACGCATTCTTTATGCCTTAAATATTTGCATTGGTGTGTTTCTGAATCCAATGGATCAAACCACATCAAAATTTATGTAAAACAAATTTTCTGATATAGTCTGTAAAATTTTGGTTTATGTTATTTTATTTATGTCCCATCCCATGTATTTCGGGGAAATATAAAATATTTACTGCATTTGTTGCGTCTTTTCAAAGCTTAGGGTGTTATCAAGTGGCAAAGATCAGCATGTTTTGCACACATTTGTGCACACATTTGTGCACACATCTGTGCGTGTGTGCTTGCCCTCATGATATGTATGCAGAATAATATGTTCATTTCTATGTGGGTACATGGGGGCTTTGCTTTATTTGCACATGCGCATATATTGCCAAAGCCCTCCCCTCTCATTGCAGGGAAATCTACTCCACCCCCTTGATGCATAGCACTACTCTTTTATGGCACATAGACAGACACATGCATACAGTGCCAGAATATTCTTGCATACAGTTATTAATCGGTTTTATTTCAAGAATACCTCACAGTTATTGTATCTGATAGTTATTTACTAATAAAGATGTCAAAATTTAACCCAGTTAAGTAAAATGATATCACTATTAACACAAAATGGCAAATGTAGCAAGAAGAATGAAATGTTTCTAATGTACGAAGACAGATGTGATTTTACTAAAGTCTCTCATGAGTCAATTTTAATCACGACAGCTTTTTTGTAAAAAAATGATAATAAATCCATTCTTTTCCATACACTTCCAATTGATTTAGTTTTTATTTAAAACCGAAGACAGTCTCTGACTTTCTACTCTCCTTTCCTTCATCCCACTCAGCACTGCGACTGCAGCTGTTTGAACTCTCAGCTCTCTGGAGCCTGTGCTCCTTTTATTCTTTTCTTAGCCAGCATTGTCTGTTCTTTTTAGTCAGCCTTGTTATTTTTAGATTAAACATAATAGCCGTGATCTTCGACACACTGTGAAAGTTTCACACCACTCCTATTGTTAAACCATACGACATCTCCTCTGTGCTCAGCTTAAAGCACAAGCCTTCAAATATTAATAAATACGATGGGAATATTACAGTAGAAATCTCAGCCAAGTCAATCAAATAGACTTATTGTTGAATGTCACAATTCATTTTTAATGGCGGGGCTTTTTGTGGACGGGCATTGCTAAGCATTAAACATAATTTTCTTCTTTTATTAATCAAACAACAGTTTGAAATGTGTTGCCACTGATCTCAGTGGCGTACCTTGATGCAGAAGGGGGATGATGGGAGAAAAATCTGTGTCATCTCCTCACCAACAGAACTGAAAATGGTTCAAAATGTAATTCTCTTTGGTGCAGCGCCTCCTTCCTCATTCTCTCTAATCTGCAAGCATGCAAATTACAATGCAAATGCAAATACTGCTGAATAATTTATGTTCAGTCTACATTTCTCCTCCAAAACCAGCAGCTTCTTGCTTAAGCAGAGTGATGTGGGATTCATAGCACAGATTTGGTTAACCACAGAAATTCACCCGGTTTCTCTTGGAAGATTTTGTGAGGGACTAACAATAGTAATTGCTAAATAGCTCAATCATTTAATATCCTACAATATAGTTAAAACTACAGCTCAAACCTCTACACTTTATTTTACAATCTGCAATTAATATACCTCTGTTATATTGCTGCTGTTACTTCAGAACACCAGTAGAAAAAAATTCCTGTTGTTATTTATTTATTTTAATGTAATTTGTATTTAAGAAAAAAAAGATCAAATTATTTGAACAAAACATAAGGTTTAATTTTTGCTCATGATAACTTATGTTGGTGTCAGTGATGTAAAAAAAAAACAAAAAAAAAACTTATATGCTATATAAATGTCTATTCAAATCACCCTTTTCAGCTTTTTCTGCAATTTGGCATCCAACAAATTAACAATCACTTTCATAATTCTGGCACAACTGAACTAACACACACAAAAAATTATTTTTTAAATTTTATTTTGTAGATAGAAAGAAACCCATCACCTTAATTAATATTATACATATACACACAAACTTACAAGTGCTGATGTTCCCTGTGTCTGAGCTAATGTATTTAGATTTCTCCCTCTGCAGGTTTTCCATCAGGGATTATAATTAAGCAAAAACGTTCAGGAGTGGTCACGTTCATTTTGCCCATGTCCGGGTTTGTATGGTTTTAGGAGGATGGAAGAACAAATCCTGGTGGAACTGCATGCAGCTGCAGTAGAGTGA